ATATATATATATATATAATATATATAGTATACATATATACTTATATATGTATATATATATATACATATACATATACATATATATAAATATACGTATTGATAATTATATATATATATATAAATACCTACATACATACACCCATGTATACACACACATCTACCTACATACATACACCCACGTATACACACATCTACCTACATACATACACCCACGTATACACACATCTACCTACATACATACAACCATGTATACACACACATCTACCTACATACATACACGCATGTATACACACATCTCCTACATACATACACCCATTTATGTACACACATCTACCTACGTGCAGACACCCATGTATACACACATCTACCTACACATATACACCCATGTATACACACACATCTACCTACATACAGACACCCATGTATACACACACATCTACCTACTTACAGACACCCATGTATACACACATACATACATCCATGTATACACACATCTACCAACCTACATACACACACCCATATATCTACCCACCCCTTCCCACAGCGCCCCAAGCTGTGACGCAGGCAGTCTCAAGGCGTCGCACACTCAGATGGTTCACGTGATTTTCCCGCACCACGCCAACACCTCTGGCATTACGTTCGGAGGACAGATCATGTCGTGGATGGAGACTGCTGGCCAGATAGCTGCGTGTGAGTGCACGTGTGTTTGTGTGTGTACTGCGTGTGAGTGTGGTAGTGTGTGTGTGTGCTGCGTGCAAGTGTAGTAAAATGTGTGTGTGTTGCGTGAATATCGTTGTGCTCGAACACGTTGACTTGTAGTCGAGTTTTTGCGGATTGAAAACGAAACACACTCCATGCCGATTTATTTATATATTGGTTTCTTTGTCGAGTTCTCGCTTTCCTGATTTTCGAATCCTGATTTCGAGTTTTTGTAACGTTCGAAGCCGATTTTCATCTTTTTCTGCAGCGAGATTCAACCGCTCCCCCAGAGCTGTTTTGGTATCGGTCGATAATTTGTCATTCAGAGAGCCCACGCATATGGGCGATATGGTCTACATCGTTGCCAAGGTAAGTACACCACTCAGTCCGTTGTGAGTACAAGGTGCTATGTGTCTGTTGTTATTTTGATACGTTTCTCATATCATGTGAGGTATCGTCTACACAGTAGCTGAGTTAGTTGTAATATATATTCCGTTGCGAGTATATGATGCTCATGTGTGGTATTATTATGATACGTTCATCATATCATGTGAGATTTCATCTACACAGTAGTCATGTCAGTTGTAAAGTATAGTATGTTGTGAGTACAAGGGGTCCTTGTGTGGGTGTGTTTCACGCTTGTTTCCTTTCATATAGTAAAACTTACGTACTATGTATATTGCTATGCATTATCACCATATTTAGACTTCCCCGTGGCGTACATAGCTTGTATAGGCGAGGTTTAGGGAAGACCGTCAAAGTGGAGACACGTACGCGACCCAGGTTTTATACAGCCATTCTTCTATACGCTAATGAACTCGCTACTGTACCTCTATTGAGCTCCTGACCTTTAAGTTATCCTAAACACTCCAGGAGTCTACACAGTTATATATATAAATATATATATATATATGTTATTTTATATTGTACTGCCCACTAGTCGGTTTAGTGGTGCATCTTCTAGATTAATGGGTGATTTGTGTGAATTAATTCTCGGCACCTGTCCGTTCCGTTCTCAGGTGTCCGCGTCGTACACAACGTCGGTAGAGACAGTGGTGTCGGTATACAAAGGAAAGGGCATGGAACTAGTACACTGCAACAGTGCGTTCATGACCTTCGCCAACATAGATGGCGAGACGGGCAAGTCGAAATCTGTACCCAAAGGTATGGGATCGTTATATATTGACATTCGATATACACATACTCATACATATATATATACATACATACATACATACATACATACATACATACATACATATATATATATATATATATATATATATATATATATATATATATATATATATATATATATATATATATATATATATATAATTATATATACATATATACATATATATATATATTTATATATATTATGGGCACACACTCCTGACACCCTGTTATGCAGATGTACTGTGATTTCGAATGTACACCCATCGCCAGAACAATAAAAACTGGCTGGGCTGCATGTATGGTTGCCCATGTATGTATAGGTGTACTTCTTATAGTCATCCGCACAAATGTTAACGCGTACATGCATCTCATTACTAGCGTGAACCAGAGGTATACGGGATTTCCTGTACGTGTGCGCTCATCCGCTTAGCCCTGGGAATCACACATGTGACTATAAACCCTAGAACCCTAAAATATGTGGCTGCATCTCTACCGAAGGACATTTACCACCACTGTATCATTGTTTCACTCCACAGCAATAGTTGTCTGTCTGTCTAATTTAGGAATTGGGGGTGGGGGGGGGTTTAGGGTGTCAAGTTTGATGGGGTTAGGTTTTTTTGCATTCCGGAGGGTTTAATAGTTTCATCGGGTCTGTGTTTATTATCGAGCATTTTATATCACCCAGTGCCCTGTAGCGTCCGCGCCCCAGTCCATCCGTGTCAACGCAAAGCACGCGTTCGCAAGCGTTTCCAAACAGTGGCGGTTAACGTTTTACCATAGCTATTCATAAAAACACCGGTTATCGCTATACCAGTGGCCACTATTTCTGAACTATTACGGTTTAGTGGTCATTAATACTGAAATGAATCGACTACTTTCTCGACCCCCTTACGTAGCGGACGCTACTACGGCCGAGGAGATGGCGTTGGTGTCCACCGCATGGCACCGCCGCAAAATCCGAATCGACCAAGTGCAGAAACTCAGGCGACCCGAAAACATGAACGAGCAATAGACGCACCAAGTGTGGTAGTGGGAGCATGGGGAGCATGGGGATCAAGCAGCCTTAGGCCCTTCTAAAGCTTGTCGTTTTGTGCTAAAATAAAGGATAATCCCACGATTTAATAAATACAGTATATAGTTAACTGCCTTGCACTGTTGCAGTCAGTATGCAAATACAGACCCGAAAATATGAATGAGCAATAGATAGACCAAGTGTGGTAGTGGGAGCATGGGGATCAAGCAGCCTTAGGCCCCTTCTGAAGCCCGTCGCCTGGGCTAAAATTAGAAATAATTTCGCGATATAATAAATACAGTCGATAGTTAACTGCCTTGCATTTTCGCAGTGTGTGTGGCAATGCCTGCGTTGAACCATTTCCAAATGGATGATTTATATACGATTTAATTATGTCATGCACTATAGTTGATTGAGTATGATCTAATGTCATGGGCCATTGTTGAGCGTAGAGGGATTGGTAGCAAATGTCTGAAGAAACACGACATTACGATCATAGGTGTAGAGTTTTACGGTTTATGGTTTACATTGATTTTACTGTGTTAATATTGAGTTTACCGTTTACATGAGTTTTATGGTTTACGGTTTACATTGATTTTACTGTAGTTTTACCGTTTACATTGTAGTTTTATGGTTTACGGTTTACATTGAGTTTTATGTTTTACGGTTTACATTGAGTTTATGGTTTACGGTTTACGTGGAGTTTATGGTTTTAATAATGAGTTTTACGGTTCTGCTATTGCGAGTATTGACAACGGTGCGCAATTCTAAGGACTTGTTAAGACCTTTTCATCAAGTGATTAGGTTTAAATTTATGTCGGTGCATTTACCAAGCTTATCTCTGCCGGGTCTAACATACAGAGTATCTCGAAAGGTACAACCAAAGGAAGTAACTGATCGCTTATTAACTATGTTTATCCCAGCTAGGAATACAGACTTAAAACCAGTCAGAAATCAACCACCAGTTCTCCTCCACTCAATAAATATTGGTGTTGGTACAGGATGTATATATTTCGGCAGAACTTTACACTGTAAAACCAATGTAAACCGTAAACCGTAAAACTCGATAGTAAAAGAGGAAACAAAAAACAACCAGGGTGAGGTTTTGCTAAATTTATTGAGATTGAGCCGTGCGCTAGTACAGGGGCTCGCGCATAGCGGCATTTGAACAAGTATGAAGTACTTCCGTTGTAATGTCGCATTTTGATTGGTGCTTTACAGTGTTTCGATATAATGCCGCGTTTTGATTGGTGCTGATCTAATTGACGAACTTTGTGACATCGACGTCCGTTGATCTCTTGCGTGTTGAGGCCGTTATGAGCGCTGCAAATGAGCCATAAGTGGGATTTCGGATAAGTACATGTCATATGTACATATATAGGAATTATTTATATATGCAAGTATTATATATATATGTATATATATATATATATATATATATATATATATTATATATATATATATGATATATACACATATATAATATATAATATCTATATATATTTATATATATATACACACACACACATATATATATATATATACATACACACATATATATACACATACATACTTACATACAGACAATATATATATATATATTTGTATATTTAAATATATATATATATATATAAACCCTATGCCAACAAACAACAACACGTATATAGGCGTAGAGAGCACACATGTGCATCGGAAACGCATGGTATGTTAATATTTCTATTTTTTTCTATGCGTATATTTGCATGTATATATATGTTATTAACACACTATCAAAACATACATCCTTGTTTCATTAAACATATATGTGTACAAACACACACACACACACGAACACAAACCACCAATAAACACATACGTAGCATATTTAATAAGTACATACCAATGCCGACCATACAGACAGCCCCTCCAGCAATAGTTGCGGCCCCTACAGTCTCATAGCCTGCGATGACGGCCATAGCTGATGCTGTGGGTGGCTCTAAGAGCATCACAGCACTCACAATCACTGCCGGAACCATGCGTAGTGCCGCGATGTACGTGACAACACCCAGCAGCCCTGTGTGAGTGAGTGAGAGAGTGAATATGTGAGTGAGTGAGTGAGAATGTGAGTGAGTGAGTGAGTGAGAGAGTGAGTATGTGAGTGAGTGAGAGAGTGAGAATGTGAGAGAGTGAGTATGTGAGTGAGTGAGTGAGTGAGTGAGAATGTGAGTGAGTGAGTGAGTGAGTATGTGTGTGTGAGTGAGTGAGTGAGTTGTGAGTGAGTGAGTGAGTTGTGAGTGAGTGAGTATGTGTGTGTGTGTGATGTGTGAGTGAGTTGTGAGTGAGTGAGTGAGTGAGTATGTGTGTGAGTGAGTGAGTGAGTATTTGTGAGTGAGTGAGTGTGTGAGTGAGTATGT